CTTGTAAAATCACTTGTTCCATGCCCTGTGTTTTCCAGTTTCCCTTTCATCCATTAACAGGTAAAGATGAATATTTGGCAGTGTTTGATTCTACTGTAAACAAGTGTCCAACAAGGAGAGAGTTGTTTTCATAACAGAAGTGCCTGTTGAGAAATCCACGGCTGAGCAGTCGTGTATTCTGTGCCTCCCCAACGCTTCAATGCAGGGAAATGTCTTTGTACATTGTTTGCCTGTCAGGGAGAATGTAAACAAGTTTTTATTTTTATAGTATTTTGCCATTAGCATGGCTAAAAACCCCGTTGCTTGTTGCTGAGCCAAAAATAGAGCATAGAACTTAAAATGGAAAAATAAACTGTAAGGGAAGATTTCCAGGCAGCTCTTACCGTCTGTGAACTCTGCTCTGTCGAGCTGATCTTAAGCCTTCCATTGGCTTCTTTTTTTTCTATTTTCCTTTTTTCTCTGAAGGAAGTGGAGTGTTGTGTTGTCACGCTGCAGTTGGGGCCACTGGTGTCTGTGTTTGGGGACTTTCTTGGCCGTGTCACCTTTATGTTACTCTGCTGTTCTGGGTCAATTAAATGCAGTGTTCTCCTCCTGGGCAGCTTTGGGTCTGATGGAGTCACACGGGTGCTGTGTCCACAACAAACAAACCACATTAGGCACAGGCTTGATATAATTCCCTAAAAAGACATTTTCACTGCAGACGTGGCATCCTGCGAGCTCTGTGTGCAGTGGGGGGAGGAGGACGGGTCGTCAGTGGCCTTTTGGATTTCAGTTTTGTGCCTGTGGAATTCCACTCCAGGTGTTTGCTCCCCTTTGGGCTGAACTTCAGAGCTGTTGGTGGCTTCAGTTTGTGCCTGAGCATGTGTGTGTGTCTTGCTGAGGAGCAGGAGTGTCCTGGCTGGGTGTCCTGGGCTCAGCCTGGAGCTCTGCACGGGCTGGAGTTGGGCCAAAGGCTCACGAGGCGCTTTCTCTTCTGCCTCTTCATTTGTGTTGTAAAAGTTGATTTTTCTTTGAGATTCCTTTTTTCCTTCAAACTGCCCAATGA